GTTTGGGATTAGATCAATATCGGCGATACGATCCAAAGGTGAGTAAAAACACGATTTTCAAAATCGAAAATTATACCGAATTTAATATATTCTTTTAGATTAAAAACCTGCCTTTTCAATATTTTCTTTCTGTATATTTACTCATCCTACTTGTTATAACTGTCTAAAGTGTAAATAAATTTGTATTCTATTTATTTCAGCACGGTGTACAGGTAATTATTATCTGTCCGATGTTTTTTGTGCATGTCTATCTATTTTTTTTTTATTATTATTTTTTATGGCATGGTTTTTTGGAGGCCTTTCCGTTCACTTTACTCTTTATTTTGGCAGATTCTTTTTTCCATTAAAAGATTAATTCATTACTTATATATTATTTTATAGAATTCATTGTACTATTCACTGACAACTATACCATTTAACTCAAATTAATAATAATTAATATATTGTCGGAAAATTAAAATGATTTCCTCTATTTTGGTTGAAAAAATCTGCTGTATAATAGGAAGGTAGTCGAGTAAACGGGTACTATTTTTTTTTTTTTTTTTTCAATTGGCTTAAGGATTGGCTGATTTTTTCCTAAATTTGCCTAAATTAAAAATAAATTATTATTATTTTTTTAATGCAACTGGAGTTTGCAGTTTTTGTTTATTTTTTTTTTTATAGGTTTCACTATTTGAAACATACGTTATGTAGTTAGTTTCTAGAAAGATAAAAAAAGAAGAAAACATGTTTTTTAGTATTAAAATTATATATCTACAGAGTGTCCCTAAAATGTCTGTACAAAACGAAATAAGAAGTAAAGAATCGTACTAACGAAATTTTATTTTTATAAGGTATTTTTATAAGAATATTAGATAAAATACACGATGATTTACTTAAAATATAAAAGTTTATCTTATTTCTAGTCAAATCTGGTGTGAATTTTGAACCTTGAGTCTTAAAATAAAGAAGAAATATTGAAGTTACGGGAGTTAGTCACATTGTTACATTATAAAATGATAAACAATTCGAAAACAATTTGTTTACTAAAAAAAAAAACTATATTGTTGCAATATTTATTTTATTTATTATACAGTCGAATGCGGTTTTAAAGATAACGGGATCAAAAAATGTGAATCTCTGAATTTCGGAGATAAATTCTCGGATAAAAGGTGGTTGCAAAAATAATCGATTATTCAATCATCGATTAATCGATTATTTTCGATATTTCAAAGTTAATCGAATAATCGATTTTATAGAAAATACGAAAAGAAAATAAATTATTTGAAAATCGATTGATCAAAAATAATCGTTTATTTTAAGTAATCGTTTGTTCAGTTATTTTTTTAGAAAAACCGATTTATCAGATAATCGTTTTTTTTTTTTTAATTAAACGTTTATTTTTAATTTAATTTTTCAGAGAAAATCGAATAATTGATTTTATAGGAGATGCGAAAAGATAATAGTTTATTTTATTTAAATAATTGTTAATTTGGTTATTTTTTAGAAAGATTCGTTTATCGGTTAGTCGGTTTTTTAATTAATCGATTATTTTTGATTAATGGATTATTTTCGATTAATCGATTATTTTTATAGAAACTAATTGATTATGTTCGATTAATCGATTATTTTTTTAGGAAATTATCGATTATTTTCAATTAATCGATTATTTTTATAGGAAATACAAAAAGAAAATAGATTATTTGAAAATAGTCGATTGATCAGAAATAATTCCTAATTCGGTTATACAGGGTGTCTGTAAAAGGTCTTTACAAAAACATACCACATATTCCTTAGACCAAAATAAGTCGATTTAAGTAAAATTACCTTAGTACAAAGTTGCTTCGTTTGGGCTCCAGTGGGGCCTTGAAGTTACAATTTTTAAATCGTTTTTCCCATATAAATTTAAAACGGCATATGCGATTTTGCTGAAATTTGGTATATTGGTAGAGTTTTATGTGGCAAAAAAATGATATTAAAATTTTGTCCGATAATAATACATAAGCGTAGAACTTCATTTCTTAAATAATTGAACCTTTTAAAATTCTACGCCAATGGAAGAAAAGGAGTTTGAGTATTGCGCAACTCATTTACTTTAAAAAAGGTACTCTTGATAAGACTCGATTACTCTCATGGTTTTGACGAAATTTGCATTTTAGTAATTTTAGAACATAAACAATAATTATTAAAATACAAACTTTGTCAAAACCATGAGAGTAAATCGAGTGTTATCAAGGGTACTTTTTTGTAGTAAATGAGTACCCAATCCAAATTTCATACTCAAACCCCTTTTTATACGATGAAAAACACAAAAATGTACTTTTTTCATATCTTCTTCAACACCTCTAATCGAGACTTTTAACAAAAATACTCGATTCTTGTCATGTACGCTTTTTTGAGGAATATTAATTATTTGCCTGCAATACGTATACAAAAACATTTATTGTTGGTTTCCATAGTTTCATCTAAATAAAAATATTGTCAAGTTTTAAGAGGAAAATGTACATTACAAACTGAAAGACCTGCGGGGCAACGGTAATTTAGTAGGTATAAAAATTACAACTTAAGGGTGGAGCCTAAATACTACAAAATTACTTCCGAGACTAAACAAAATCCGCATTCATTCATAATTTTAACAATTGCATGTAGATACGAGGGATACGTATTCCAAACTGTAACGCGCGAAGTTAAGACAAAGGAACCGAAAAATCCTACTACGATATATTTATACAATGAGTGAGTCAGAGTTACCTAAATTAGGGGAACCCAGAATCGTATTTGTTTTTCTTGGTGCATTGCGAGATATTGTTATAACGCAGTTCGATTTTTTAGAGAGTTTTACATTATTTTTATATTTTAATTTAGTGAATAGGTTTAATTAGATTTAGGAGTATAGAGTTGTGAAATATAAATACAAATAACGAAAAAATAGACGATTGGTTCGAATAAGGTAATATCAATTAATACAGGGTATTTATTAATTGAGTGCCGATACTTAAGGGTGTGAATCCTTAGGTGTTAAAGTTTTAAGAAAAAAATAACTATTTTATCATAAGTTTCTTATCACTCTAGATATTTTTATGAAATTTTGCCCAAAAAAAGTGTTTCCACTCATGGTGGGTTCCTACCAAATTTCAACAAAATATCAAAAGCAGTTTCAATGAACTGGTTTTTATTTTCTTACGCGAAAAGGGTGCGTCGTACGAAAGTATGTCTAAAAATCAAATTTGCTCTAAAATGAATAAGGATTTTAAAAATAATTTTGGTTTTTAGAAAAAGCAGTGGCGTACCATATTTTTGTTCAAAAATATTCAGTTCAACAAAATATTATTTTAATGATTTAAAATAAACTGCCAGTAATAATAATTATCTGTACTTAAACATATACAAAGTGAAATCATAAAACGACGCATCAAGAAAGCACCAAATTATTAAACTTTTAATTTACGTAACAAGTATTAAAAGTAATTTTAAAAAACACTTTAAAATCGTGCAGATCCCATCACCACATCTTATCCAAATTTTTATGGAACCACCCCTGAGGTGCCCCCTTACTAACGAAAATAATTATAGAAATCGAACAAGGTGGTAAAGAATTATCGCTAAACATACATAAAAAATGAAAAGTTTAAGGATTTTCTCATCGACCCAATTGTTAGATTTTGACCAAATTTATATGGACCATCCCGGAAGTACCCCCTATCCAGCAAAAAAAATCATTTAAATCGGACATTGTGTTAAAGAATTATCTCTGAACATACATAAAAAAATATATACAGACGAATTGAGAACCTCCTCCTTTTTGAAAAATTATTTCTGGGCTAAAATATGCGCAAATATATTTAGTTGAAATTCTGAAATGTTAGGTTTTGTATGTTGAACCGTTTAAGCACTATAGGTTTGGTTCCATCTTTAACAGCTATCCTGTATGTAAAAATGTGGGTTCGGTTTCTAGAAGAGTACCTAGTTCACTGTGCAGCCAAATTTATATGTATTTTTTGAATAAATAAAGTTTTAGGTTTAATTAAATACCAAGTTTTATCAGGAATAACATTTTCTGAAAAAAGTAACACACAAAAAGCAGACTTTTTGCGAGCCACTATATACATTTTAGAGCATAATTCATATTATTTTAGAAAAATAAATAAAATTTTTGTATAATCACATAAATGTGATTTATCTTTTAGAATATTATATATGTTTGTTAAAGTTTGTATAAAGAAACTGTAATGCAAGTTCTGGAACAAATTAAAAATATCACAAATTATTTTATTTGACTAATATGAGTTTTTTGTGTTTTTAAATATTTTTTTCAATTTATTTCCATATTCTATATATTCTTGTTTTTCCAATCAGTTAAATTTCTCAAGAGAGATTTTTTGAGATCCACTACCACTACCGGTAAACGTAAAAGTTACACAGGCAGGATTAACAATTTATAGTTTTAGTTTTTTTCACGATGAAAGACGTCATTTCCCGGTCTTTTTTTATTTTTCTAAGTATAGTATGGGTTAACTTTTTCTTCCTTCTCTTTATTTATTATTAATATATTAAAATTTCGATACAATTTACTGGTTTTCGATTAAGAACAAGACCACTTACCGATGAGAACAATAACTAAACTTCCTTTGGTAAGGCGGCCTAAAATGTAAATGGTGCAAATTTACATAATTTTAGGGATTCCTTAAATATTTAAGGAACCTTAAGTAAGAAATCTTAAATAAAAAGTCTGTGCAAATGGCCGTAAGTTAAAATGAAAATCAATTTATATTTAAAATTAAATAAGTTAACTAAAATTTTTGACCGTTATGAAGTTAATAAAGTTATAAAAAATAACGTCGTTACAAAGATTCATGTGTGAATTTTCAATTTCTCTCATCTACGTCTAATCTACTTCTAATCCGAATCAAAATCCTGAAACTATTATTTGGGGACTTAAAAGCGTGGTCCACTAGTTGGTGTAGCCTTTTAAAACATTTGGAATAATATTAATTATATATCATCATCAGTGCCACTGGTAAAATCCTAAATTTAAAATAGTGTATTATAATAATAAGACATTAATCATATCTTAAATGAATCGCCTACTACCATGTTTTAGAAATAAATAAAATGTAATTCTTAAATTAATAAAAATATTCAAAATAATTTAAGATTCCTTGCGTTATGTTAATAAACAAACAAAATTTCTCACGAATTATTTAGTATTATGTCCCGTACTTCCATGTCTCTA